CCCCCCCCCCCAGTCCTCAGACACCTCCCCCCCCCATGCACACAAGAACATACACGTATAGCAACACTTGCACGCTTGCATACACCATACATAGATGAGGCCAGCTTGAATCAGCTTGAACAGGGGATGAGGAGGCAGCAGCATCCCTGGCCCTGACGGCCTCCAGGCTGGATTAGCAAGATGGAAAGAGCAGAGCACACCGGGCAGGGCTTCTGCTGAGGGAGAGGGTCTTCGGCGGAGGTAGGAGCACTGCGTTGTTTGGAAACCTGACGTCGACTGGCCGAGGCCGTGTGTCTCCCGTAGCACCAAAGAGTACTCCGTGATTCTCGGCACCCCCAAGCTGAAGCCCGTGGACTTCCCGAAGGGCGTCTCGATCCCCGTGAAGGACATCATCATGCACCCCAAGTACTGGGGCCGGACCTTCATCATGGGCGATATTGCCCTTCTCCAGCTTCGGACTCCGGCCATCTTCGGCAAGTACGTGCAGCCCATCTGCCTCCCAGAGGCCAGCTACAACCTGAAGGTTGGGACGCAGTGCTGGGAGACTGGCTGGGGCCAGGTGAAACAGCGCTTCTCAGGTGAGCACGATGGGCTGAGGGTGGGGTGTGGAAGCACAGAGGGCGTGCTGCCTTCCTTCTGGGGCCTCGGCTGCTAGACCCTTTCCCGGTGCCTCTCAGGAAGCTTGTGGCTGCCACCCCTGGGCAGTTGTTTGGATGTGTTAGGACGGTCCTCACGGTTTACACCACTGGGCCTGCTGTGGGCACTAACGCAGGTCTAGCGACGCCTGCGCTGGGCACGATCTTTTGTGTCTTACAGAAGGTCGGAGTCAGGGAATCATAAATGTACTCACTCACTCATTCATTCACCTGACGAGCCTCGAGCGTCTGGCGCACCCCAGCCCCCTTGCGTTGGGAACACGAGCCCTACCTGCGGGGCGTCATAACTGAGTGTGGGGGTGGGGGCGCAGGCTGGCAAGGAAGGAGGCCGAGACTTGGTCAGGTGATCTCGAGATCCAGCCGGGAGGGATCTGGGAGGAGCGTCTGAGAAGCCTGAAGGAGGAGCGGCTGTTAATCAGGTGACAGAGGGCACAGCCGGTGCCAAGCTCAGAGGCCGGAGAGAAGCAGTATGGGGCTGGGGTCTCCAGCTGTAAGTGGTTGCATTGAAACTTGGATTGTGGCCTGCTCGGTTCAGAAGCAGCTGCTGCCCACAGAGAGGGATCCTGAAAGCCTCAGAGGGTGAGGGGCTTGCCAGACATGGTCCGCGCTGGAGGGAGACAGACAGGTGAAGGCGGGCACGGGGGTGTGAAGGGATGTGGCTTGGCCGAGTGTCAGAAATGGAGGTGATAGGACACTGGGGAGAGGCCAGGGCTGAGTGGAGTGAGAAGTTCTTTCTCACCCCACTGGGCTCCTCCACAGCCAACTCCACGCTGACCCCAGAGCTGCGGGAAGCTGAGGTGTTTATCATGGACAACAAGAGGTGCAACCGGATTTACCGCAAGAAGTCCCTCATCCCCCACCTTGTCCCCCTTGTCCTGGGGAACGTGATCTGTGCCACCAATTATGGAGAAAACTTGTGCTCTGTGAGTTTCTGGGCGGTTCTGGCAGCTCTTCTCTCGGCAGTGACTCCCAGGGTGGGGGCAGGGGAAGTTCCTGGGGAGGGGTTTGCTGGGCTTTTCCCTGTCTGTCAGCATCACCAGGCAATGCTCTGCTCCCATCCCCTGTGACTTTGACTTTGCCTGATAACCCTGGGATCGGTCCACAACTGAGGAGCTGAAGGAGGAGGGCCCCATGTAGTGAGGACCTCAAGGAGAGAAAGAATCTTCCAGACAGAACTCAGGGTGGGCATTCTGGGTCCTCTGGGGTCCTGGGTCCCCACGGGGCCCAGGGCTTCCATTGTTCCTCTCTCTTCGCCTTAGGGGGATTCTGGGGGTCCGTTGGCTTGTGAAGTCGAGGGCAAGTGGATTCTGGCTGGGGTGTTGTCCTGGGAGAAGGCTTGTGCCAAAGCGCAGAATCCTGGCGTGTACACCCGTGTCACCAAATACAGCAAATGGATCAAGCAGCAAATAAGTAATGGGGCTCTCTCAGGCCCCCAGACCTCTGCCTGGCTTCTACTCCTGTTCTGGCTGCTGCAGCCCCAGATGGGCCCCTGATCTCTCTTCTCTCTTCTCCCTGCTTTGCCTGTGCTTTATGGGTCCAGGTTCCAGGTCAAGGTCAGACCCAGTTCCTGTGTCGGTATTCAACAAGAGTCAAGGTGGGGAGAGTGGCCCCCGGGAGGATGGGGCCCTGCTTTGCCCTCCCCATGGGGAGGGATGCGGTGGATGACTAGGCCTTGGGTGACCAGGAAAGGGGACGTGTGGCCTAGAAGAGCTCTGGAATTGGGGACCAGGATAGCCGGGATTAAATTTGTGCAAATGTGAGCTGGCTCTGTTCTTTTTTTCTGGGCGACCCTGGGAGGTTAGGGTGGGTGGGAGGGCAGGGCCTTCTAGAATTCATTCTGCCAGCAGACTCCCCAGAGTGGAGGCTGATGGTTTTTGCTATATCACTAGTCCAGGGCCATAGGGAAAGGGCCTGGGCCTCAGGCCTCATCTGTTTCCTCATCTGTAAAGTGGGCCAGCTGGAAGGGGGCAGCCGAAGCATGCCCTGTAGGCTGACGGTAGGAAGGACCCACATAAAGTGCTCCAAATATAGCTTGCTTTCTTTTTTTAAAAATGGCACTAAAAACTGATTATAAAAATTTAGGATTAAGGTTAGGGTTAGGGTTACATGTTTTTTTGCTTTTAAAAATTTCTTTAAAGATTACAAGTAATATCTGAATACATTCTTGTGATTTACTGAAAGTGTTCAGAAATACATATAAAGAATCCCCCCTCTCAGCCACCCATGCCGCTGCCTTTCCCAGGAGTAATTTCTGCTGGCATCCTTCAATAAAATGTCTTTATAATTTTTAAAAAATAAATGAGATCTTATATATGTGTTATTAATAGCCTACACTAAAAAATTACACACCTTAAAACACTTTCTATGTCAATACCTAGGGCTATTCATAATTTTACATTCCTGCCTGGGTTCTGCGCGGGTGTGACATATGTTATTTAACCAGCACCAAATTTTAGGCTGTCCTGACTTGTCAGCATGATGGTGATGCTGCCATTAACACCCTCCTGCGTGTGCGTGTGCGTGTGCGTGTGCGTGGTGGGGGTGGGGGATGGTACGCTCTGAAACATTTCTGCAGCTGTCTTCCCGAGGGGCTGAGGGGGGGATGGTCATCAAAGGAAACACAAATTTAATAATTTTGGATGAGTACTACCAGATGTATTCCTCCCCAAAGCTGAGCCTGTTTACATTCATATCTACAGTACAGGAGGGTGAATATTTCCCCTCTTGCCAAAAATGGATATTATTAACCTTCTAAAAATGTGCCCATCCAATGATAGAAAGTTGTATCATTGCTGCCTTTTTTATTTAAAAAAATTCTTAAAAAGTTTATTTACTTTTGAGTGACAGAGAGAGACATGGCATGAGTGGGGCAGGGGTAGAGAGAGAGAGAGGGAGACACAGAATCCGAAGCAGGCTCCAGGCTCTGAGCTGTCAGCACAGAGCCCGACGTGGGGCTTGAACTCACGAGCTGTGAGATCATGAACCGAAGTTGGACGCTCAGCCAACTGAGCCACCCAGGTGCCTGTATCATTGCTGTTTTAATTTGGATTTTCTTGATTGGAAAAATATCTTTGCATGTGTTTGCTCATAAAAGATATACTTTTTCTCTAGTAAATCCTCTACTCATATACTTGGCCTATTTTTAAGATTGGGTTGCTTTTCTTTTATGAAAGGGTTTGTCTTTTCTGAATACTGAGCCCTGCTCAGTTATTTTACAAATATTGTCTTGTCTTCTGGAAATATGTGGAGTAGATGGAATTATGGAATTTTTCCATAAAGACCTTTAAAATTATTATGGAGTCAAATCCGTCAGTCTTTACTTCTTTATGGATTTTGCACCTAGCTGAAGGTGGCCGTCTCCATCTCTAGATTATAAGAGCTGTCTTCCCATATTTCTCCTATTATTTTGATAAATTTATTTTTTTGTGTGTTTAACTCTGTAATCCATTTGAAATTTCTGTTTATGTGTGGTGTGAGGTGGGGATCTGACTCTGTTTCCAACTGGAGAGCCAGTTCCATTGATACTATTTCTTGTAGAGTCTGTCTTTTCCCTGCTGATTTGAAAATCTGCATTCACAATAAGGAAGTCTTAATCTATTCATGGTATGTTTTTGAAACCTCTGTTATTTTCCCAGTGATCTGTTTGTCCCTAGGGTAGTGCTGTACTGTTTCAAATAGCTTTATGTTATGTTTTGTGAAATGGTAGCAAAAGCTCCCCCTTTTTAAAAAAAAAATACTGCCTAATCTACAGTTTATCTTCCATGTGAACTTTACGATCAGTTTGTCAATTTCCATTAGAGGTGCTGTTGGTATTTGAATTGAAATTAAACACACAGGCTAATACGGGGAGAACTATCATTTTCACAATGTTGAATTCCTAGCCAGGGGTGTGGTATATGTCTCCATTCATTCAGCTCTTCTACTCCAGGATGTCTGGAAACATACTGAGTTTGGTTTTTACAAATTTTGGTTATGTTTATTGTGGGTGATATCTTTTCCCATTATATATTTAAAAAAAATATTTGAGAGAGAGAGAGAGAGCGAGCACGCGCATGAGCAGAGGAAGGACAGAGAGAAGAGAGAGACTCTCAAGCAGGCTTCTCACTGTCAGTACAGAGCCTGATGCAAGGCTCAAACTCATGGACTGTGAAATTGTGACCTGAGCCAAAATCAAGAGTTGGAGGCTTAACTGACTGAGCCACCCAGGCACCCTTATTGTTTTCTAACTTTATATGTTAGGTATTTTAAAGCCATTTATTTATTTATTTACTTATTTAAAGTTTTTTTTTTTTTTTTTTTTTTGAGAGAGAGAGAGAGAGAGAAAGTGGGGGAGGGGCAGAGAGAGAGGGAGATAGAATCCCAAGCAGGTTCTGCACTGTCAGCGCAGAGCCCGATGTGGGGCTCAAACTTGTGAACTGCAAAATCATGGCCTGAGCTGAAATCAAGAGTCAGACGCTTAATGGACTGAACCACCCACGTGCCCCTAAAGCTGTTGATTAAAAAAAAAAAAAAAAAATAGTGATCTTGATTCCTGGTCATCTTGCCAAACTGACTTAATTCAACAGTTTCTCAGTTGATTTCTTTTGCCTTATTTTTGGCTAATCAAATTACCTAAAATGGTGACAGCTACGTCTTGTCCTTTTTGAAAATTGTACCATTTATTTCATCATCTCTGCCTGTGACCCTCAACACAGTGTGAAATAGCCACGATGTGGGGGGTGGGGGATATGTGTGTATCTCAGTGTTCGTCTGTTTCACAGATAGTTCCTAGTTAGTCTGTTTCACAGAGACTTCTCTGTGTCCCGCACTGTTTGGGGCCCTGCGGATGCAGTATTGAACTATTAAGATGATTATATGGTTTCTCTTATTTAATTTGTTCTCATAATGAAATTCATTACCAGATCTTAGTAGATTTCTTAGGTAAATTCCATAACACATTGTGAATTCAATTTGCTGGAATCTTGTTTAGAAGTTCTTCCCCAATGTTGGATTGGTCTACACCTTTCCTTTCTGTTGTACTGTTTCTTCAAGTTTGGTGTCATTGCTGTGCTAGCCTCTTAAAACATGTTGAGAAGCTTTCTGGTATTTTCCTATGTCCCAGAGAAGTGTCTGTAACAGCAGCATTATCTATTCCTTAGGTCTGATAAATTGTGCACATAAAACTCACTGGGCCTAATAGCTTTTTAAAGGACAAACGAATCTCTGACTCTTTAAAAACTATCTTGTATAGTTATTGGCTGAGTTGGGTTTCTCATTTCCTTTTGCATAAATTTTAGTATAATCACTTACTTTAGTTTAGATTCTTTTTTTTTTTTAAACTTAGATTCTTACATTTCAAACTGATGTATAAAATTTGAACCTATGGCTTCTTTCCCATTTCTAACATTTATATATGTACTCTTGACCTTTTCTTAATACTTAAAGATTACAATTGCCAGCTTATTGTGTTTCGTAGGTGTTTTTAGAAATCCATCTGGCATACCTTATTACTTAGCTTCGTGGTATCCATCCGACCCTCATATTACCCCACGTCCTGGTCAGCGGCCCACCCCCTCTGCTGTGCTGCTCATGTTCTTTAGGGGAAAGCTATCACACTCCCAGCTCCCAGAAGGAGTGGCTCATTGGTCTGATCGAGTTAGCATAGTGCAGTGCCCCCGCCACCTGACCCCAGTTGGGTCACCCAGCCAGCGTAAGGCATGGTTAGAAGAGGGGCATGCACACTCTTTCTGTGAATGTGGATGAGGAAGCAGAAGGATGTGGGCTGTTGACAACCATTTTTTTTAAAGTTTTAATTTAAATTGCAGTGAGTTAGCATACAGTGTAATATTAGTTTTAGGTGTGCGATATAGTGGTTCGGCACTTCTGTACATCACCTGGCGAACTGTTTTTCAACAAAGGAACCAACTCAGGATGAAGCCACCACCAATGAGGAGAGGAGACAAATTTTAAGCCTCTTATTTGGGGACTCCTGAATGGTACACACTAACTTTGGGTTTTAGTGCTCAAATCTGCTGCCGCTTTTTATTTCATTAAAGCTCTTTTAGCTTTAGTAATTCTAACCGTCTACTCTTGGGGGACTTATTTTACGGTCCTTTTTCTAACCTCTTGAGTAGTGTGCTTAGTCAGTTATTACAGACTTCTTTGATTTCTGATATTTTCACTTCACTGTGTGAAATCTCCTCTGACTCTCACTTTGACCATATTTCACAGGATTTGGTAGGTAGTGACCTCACTGATTCATTTCTATATTGTTTCTAATTTCACGCGACATACATTTTTAAGGAAGATTTTATCCAAACTTTATTATGTAATGTTTGTTTCATGCAGTTGTAGTCATATTTCTTCTTTTATGTGGAAGTAATTCTTGGGGCGCCTGGGGGGCTCATTCGGTTGAGCATCCGACTCTTGGTTTTGGCTCAGGTCATGGTCTTACAGTTTGTGAGATTGAGCTCCATGGCAGGCTCCGTGCTAAGCGTGGAACCCGCTTGGGAAACTCGCTCTCCCTCTCTCTCTGCACCTCCCTGCTCAAAATAAATAGATAAATAAACTTTAAAAAGAATGATTATTTTTTGTATAGAATTTATTTCAAAATATTTTGCAACCCAGACTTTCCACCATATCCTATTAATCTGAAAAAGTGATGGTTTGTTATAACTGGGGATTACACAGGGAACAATTAGGCAAAACTTATCAGTAAATATCGTTGCTAAACCTCATGCTATACTTCTTATTTAATGCAAGGTGTACATAGAAGGGTGCTCTTTAATTTCCTGATGGATTGTTTGGGGGAGGATGGGGACTTCCTTTCTTCTCCGCTATTAAAACTCATATCACAATGTGGATTTAATTACTGTTGTGTTTTGGAACTTATTGGGGTTTTATTTGTGCCTAGTATTTGGTCAGTTTTTAGTGAGTGTTTCATGTGTGTTTGAAATGAAAGCATTGTGTCTTTTGAAACAAAGTTCTAGCCATAACTGCTTGAATCAGGTTTGTTGATCGTATTATTCAGATCCTCTCGACACTTCAGATATCTTATGTCTATATAATCAGTTGATTTCTGAGAGGTTTACCACAAGAGTTAAGATTTCTTTAGGGGCGCCTGGGTGGCTCAGTCGGTTGAGCCTCTGACTTCGGCTCAGGTCACGATCTCGCAGTCTGTGAGTTCGAGCCCTGCGTCGGGCTGTGGGCTGACGGCTCAGAGCCGATTCTGTGTCTCCCTCTCTCTCTGCCCCTCCCCCGCTCATGCTCTGTCTCTCTCTCTGTCAAAAATAAATAAACATTAAAAAAAAAGACTTCTTTTTTCAGTTCTAGCAATTCTTGCTTTCTCTTTCAAAGTTATGTTGCTAAGAGAGCAAAGTACATGTTCACTGTACCATTGTGGTGGCTTATACCCTATCCATATAAAATTTGCCTTTGATGGTATTTGCTTTTTCAAAGATCTGGATCATAGAATCCATTCCTAACTCTGCTGTTCTAACTGATGAGGGGATATATAATTTTATGTTTTGTATATGTTTCCTAAAGGTTTTCCTTGGATTCATTTTAGACCTTTTGTAGTTTCTTGGTTTGAGCATTTAATTCAATTTCATTCTTTGTTATTCAATAATAAATACCTTTAAGATTGTGGATTTGCCTTGAACACACCTAGTAAGTTTTTAACGCATTGCTCTAATTACTAACATTTTTCTAAAGAGTTTATAGAATGTTATTTCTTCAAAATAAGTTAACGAAGTTTATTTTTAAAAACTTCAGATAAGTTGCTCATTCTTGTTATTAAATCTTTGTTTCATTGATTGCATCATGGTATAAAAGTGTGGCCCAAACTGTTCAGCTTTTAGGGAAGTTATTGTGATGTTCTTAGTAGTCTAGTGTGCGGTTGATTTTTATAGAAATTCCATCCCCCAAAGACGGAACTGGAGAAGGCTGTCCCCTACAGGTAGGTTTTTCAGTTTGTCACACAATGCTGATTGACTTTGCTTTCTAGGTTTGATGCAATGTGATCAGTGGACAGAACTCTATGGTGTTATGTAGTCATTGGCATTTTCATCTTTTCCCAACACAAAGTAACTTTCTTTTTCTGTTTGAAGCTTTTGACCTGAATCACATTTGTTTGTTTCTTTCTTTCCTTCTTTCCTTCCTCCTGCCTTTCCTCCTTTCTTAGCTTCACGCCCAGTGTGGAGCCCAACGTGGGGCTTGAACTCACAACCTTGAGATCAAGACCTGAGCTGAGATCGAGAGTCAGACGCTTAACTGACTGAGCCACCCAGGCACCCCCTGAATCACATTTCTAGAGATAAACATTGCCATTTCTATTTTCACTTGTATATACTCACTATAATTTGCCTGTCTTTTTGCTTTCAACTGCTTCGTGTCAGTATGTTTTAGGTGGGTCCCTGATAAGTAGCACATGAGTAGACTTTTTTCCTACCCACTGTAAGATCTTTTACTTTTAAAAGTAGAGGGTTGTATTCACATTGGTAATGATGATAGATATGATGGTCTTCATTGAACTGTCTTATTTTGTTTCATTGATTGATCCCCCCAGAGTATTATTTTCCACAAAGGCAGAAGAGTAGATAGGGTTTTTCTTCTCTGGATTTTCTTTTCTTCCTTTCTTCTCCCCCCTGTTTCCCCCTAGGGTAAATCTGATTGTAGGGATAATCATTTCCTTGATTTTCTGCCATGTGTCTCTGTTTTTGGTTTCATACAGTACCTTTTTAATTCCGCTTCTTTCCCTCAAAGTAACGATGGATTTCAATGTTAGTGTTGCACAGGTGGTGGTCCACTTTCGTTTGGGTGAATAATTGTGAGCCTCCATCCCGCCTTTTTTTTTAAATTAAAAAAATTGTTTTTGACGTTTATTTATTTTTGAGAGAGCATGAGCAAGCAGGGAGGGGCAGAGAGAGAGGGAGACACAGAATGGGAAGCAGGCTCCAGGCTCTGAGCTATCAGCACATGGGACCTGACATGGGGCTCGAACCCACGAACTGTCAGGTGCTTAACCGACTGAGCCACCCAGCCGCCCCTTCCATCCCACCTTTGATGGCTGTCGGGTAGCTTCCGGTTGGGGCTCTATCCAGCAGCACTGCCATGAGCTGTCTCTTGGATCTGTCCTGCTGTATCTGTGCATGCCTGTTTGGAGGGCACACAAGCAGAAGGGGACGTGCAGGTTGTGGGGCACATACTTTGCTTTACTGAATGATCCCAGAGTGGGGACAGCAGTGGCCTGGACCATCCCCCTCCCCCAGCAGTGTTGGGAGCAGCTTCGTTACCCTGAGTCCTCGGCAGTAGTGGTGATGGGGTGCGGCAGAAGGGAGTGGTCCTAAAGGACAGTGTGAGGAGCATGGGAGCCCTGGGGAGGGACCTCAGTGGGGTGGTGGGAAGGGGACCCAAGTCATTTATTCTGATGACTCATGAAGACCCAGGCTTACAAGCTGCTTCCTCTTAGAAAGCCACGTTCCACGGCCCCAAACACTGGGCCTCCCTCTACCCAGGAGCTGTTTTCTTGAAAATGCAGAACCTGTGGGAAAAAGGAAAACTCCAGTTCTATTCAGTCACCCACAGCAGGAACTAGCCATCTCCTCCTCAGTGCCTCAGTTTCCACACCTCCTGGGTGCCCTGAAGAGGGTTTCATGAAGGAGATTGGACTGGGCACTGGGGTCCACAGGTGCTGTCATGGGCTCAGGATTGGGCATAGAGGGGCAGCATCAAGACCAAGGCTGAGCCCGGGGGGTACTGTTGTGGGCCAGATGGCAGGTGCTGTCATGGGCTCAGGGTACCAGAGGCATCATTCCAGGGAGGTGCCTAGCAGCAGCCTCTGTTGTGGCCCCAGCGGGACCTTGCCATGACCGCACTGTCTCCTTCTCAGGATCCTGCCGCTGCCCTAGCTGAGTGAGCCCCAAACCCTGGGGCAGAGACCCAGTCCCTGCTACCGTGAATAAACAAACCGTGAGTTCTAGAATTCTCACACAGTAGAGATGCTCTGCCCCACCCTACCCCCACATCCTATTATGAGGGCCAGTGTAGGTCAGGCACCTGCTAGCCATGGCATGTGGGCCAGGAGATCTTCAGAGCCTCACATCTCCATTTTCTTCTGCCAAACTTGGAAATTCCCTCTTTTCAGAAGGTAGGGCTTTTGGGACATGGGAGAGGGGCAGGGGAGGGGGTGTCTTTGCCTGGGTTCTGTCCTCCTTCCTGAATTTGCCCATATCCTGATGGGCACATCCTCACCAGACTGCACAGTGTACCAACTTAGGGGCCCAGATAGTGTCGAAGCACTTCCAGTTGGCAAGGGTGACCATGAACACGAGGGAAATCGGGGAGCAAGCTAACAGACGGGGATCAGATGAGCTTGTTTGGGAGGTGCAATCTAGGAGAACCAGGACTTAGGATGACAATGTGTGAGGTATGAGTGACTGTTCACCCTCTGTAAGGTCTCAACACCCTGTGAGGTGGCCTTTACCATTTCACAACGGGAAACCAAGGCCCAGGAGACTTAGGTGGCTTGTGGAGCCAGGGTTCAATACTGGTTTTCAGTAGACTCTAGCCACTGAGTGTTCCCTGTGTGTGTGATGGTGATGCCGTGTCTATGGTGAGGTTGATCCGTGACACCTCACACCCCAAAACAATCCATCATGGCTCCCCTCTGACTGAACCGCTGTCCTTGGTGCTGGCATCTCCAGGCTGAATCCTGCAAATCCTTTGTAAGGAGGTGGGAGTCTGTGTTTTGGATGTGAGCTCTGAGGAGTGTTGTTCCCCGAGCCTGGGGAACACACTGAGGGTGCGGAGTGTGGCGGTGAAGCCCAACCCCGCCCCCTAGGACTGTCACTTTTTAGGTGGTGAGGCTCATTCTGCAGGACCCTGGCTCCACGGGGCCCTCAGCTTTGTGAGAAAGGAGAGGGCAAGCCTCTGGAACTCCTCTTCCCTCCCAAAGTGGAACAGCCCCCATCGGGGCAGGCTGTAATCCGAATCACAAGGTAGCCACGGACCTACCACAGCATGTGAGAAGAGCTGGAAATGCGGCACCCCCTTGGGGGGAAATGGAAAATAGGACAGCAAGCCATTGGATAGGGACATGGGCAAGAGTGGAGTCTTGAGAAAGCAAGGCAGGACAAAACTCAGTGAAGATGTGGGGGCCCGTGGGGAAGACCCTGGTTGAGGGTAAAGGTATTTAGCCGCGGAAGTCTGTGGCAAGGGAGCTGACCATCTACACCTGATGGTACCAGGAGCCCTGGGACATAGCAGAATGAGCGAAAACATCAATGGTGTGTGTGTGTGTGTGGGGGGGTTTCCTGTGAGGCAGGGCACACCAGATGTTTCCACTAATGTGTCGGGGTCATCATAGGCTATTAACCTTGTCTGTTTGTTTATCAGTGGACCCCTCCACCGCCGTCATGGACCCTCCCTAGGCAAGGACAGGCCTTGGTTACTGCTGCTGAGTCCCTGATGCCCTGCTTGGCATTGCACACTGAGCTGCTCAGGGAAACAGACTTTCTGGAATCATGCCAGCTTCTGACGTCATAAACACATGTCTAGCTTTGCCTCCATGAGGATCTGTGACTGCATGTTAGCAGCTTGTTGGCCAGTCCAACCTTGACAGCAGGCTAGATCCAAAAAACCCTTTTTGTTTGTCTTTAATCTTGGTCTCCAACCTTTGCTGCAGAATCTCTCCCTCTCCTGTCCTCGATGTTCAGTTATTAAATACCAGTCCGAGATGGTCCAGTTCAAGATCTCAGTCTTAAACCAGTTCAGCGCAGCTCCCTCTTCTCCCACTCCTGCTGTTGGGGGTGGGGCGGGGCAAGGAGGGTGTTGACAAGCATCTGTACTCACTTTCTCATATGGTCACAGAGAGCACACCTCGGGGAGGTGACCTGCGAAGGCAGGCGCTGGAGTTGTACCAGGCGACATCACTGTCCATTGCTTTCTGACCACAGCCGTAAGCCGTCCTGCTCACTTGTGCCCCATCACTTATCCCTTGACTGGCAACTCGCTCCTCGGATGAGTCTCCTCCTTCACTCCCCTAGCCATCTGCTTGTGTAAACGAGCGGGCAGAGAGAAACCCTGAGGGTGGTGGCCGTCCAGTTCCCATTGTGTGGGGGACTGCTTTAACATGTGGGGCATCTGCTGCCTCTAGGCCTTTGTCATTTGCAGGGCTGTATGCGAAGCCCTTCCCCACATGTGTGGTGGCCAGAATGGGGCTCTCTCTTCCTCGATAGTCTGCTGCCGTGTGCAGTGGTCTTGAGAGTCTGCACAGGCCTGGCATGGCCCCCTTTCTACCTTTTTCCTTAGAGCCCTGGTTCCAGGCCTGTGGTCACACCAACATCGCCTGCAAGATGGTGAAGGGGAAGCTGGTAGAGGTAGGCAAGTGGCCATGGCAGGTGAGCATCCTGTTTCTGGGCGTGTACATCTGCAGCAGCTCCCTCATCCACACTCAGTGGGTCCTCACGGCCGTGCACTGCCTAGAGAGGTCAGTCGGGGTGGCCAGCCGTTCCCAGGGGCTTTGCTTTCTGGCGTGGGGGGTGGTGCCCAGTAGATCTGGGGATCTGGGAGTAGGGGCCTGGCTGGGTTACCCTGTGCTCAGTCTGTGTGTCTGCAACCACGTATGGCCTCACTGCTGGCAATCTGCCTCCTACCTATGGCCCTGTAGATCCAAGGACCCCAAAAAGTACTCCGTGAGGGTGGGAGTCCAGCAGGTCTCAGAAAACGGCACTTGGCTCCTGCTCACTCGCATCGTGATCCACGAGGATTTCCACAACCTCCTATCCCAGGACATTGCCCTCCTGAAGCTCAGGGACCCCATCTCCTGGCTCCCCCCTCATCCACCCTGTCTGCCTACCCGACACCAAATTCAAGCTCTCGCTCGGGACCATGTGCTGGGTGATTGGGTGGGGACATAAAAATGAACAAGGTGAGTAAAGGCAGGCAGAGGTCCCAAGACTGCAGCCTCTTCGGAACACAGCTCTGACGTGGGCTCGTTTGTTCATTCCCTTCTTCACTCGTTCAGTCCCTCAGCGAACATTCCCGAGCACTTACGCTTGCTACACACTATCCTGACCTTTGCTGATAGGAAGAGATCCATAGTGCTCTAGTGTAAAGGACACACATGGGCTATGTGGGCCTCAGTTCCCAGAGTTAAATCCAGTGCCAACCCCTCACCTTGCAGCATGGCAGGGAAATTAATCCTGGGCCACTAATGGGATTCCCTGTCTACAAGTGGCACATGGGCCATGATCTCAGGAAGTGTTGAGGCACTGGACAGCCATCATACATACTTGTTACCTCGAGGTACCAATAATCCCTGGTTGGTGCCACCCTAGAGCCCTAGAATCGAGGAGTGTTTGTGGGATCCTGCCCTCCAGGGGATGGCACATTTTGGGCTCCTGGGTCTTGACACCTTGGCAGGTAGCCGTGGAGCAGGGTTTCACCCTTGTTGAAACCTAAACTATTGCAGTAGTCTCTCCTGGTCCTCATTCAGGGCTTAGATGCTGCTCTGAGCCCCCTGGGAGGCTTTTGCTTGGTCTTTCTAAGGAGTTTGGGTGTTTCAAAAGTCAGGCTGTGGGATGGGGCCTTTATAAATCACCATCCCGGGACAGTAGCCCTGTCTCACAACCCTGGTGAATGTGGACAACTTCAAGACGGAGATGTGTCAAATAGTTGAAGGGATGATGAGGCAGGATCTCTCTGTCTCTCTCTGTCTCTCTCTGTCTCTCTCTCTGTCTCTTCAGAAACCTCAAGTAGCCCCTACAGTCTTCAGGAGGTGGCCGTCAGGATCGTTAGCAACGGTATCTGCCGTCAGCAGTACCAGTTTCTCTTCTTGAAGAAAGAGAAGTTCATTGGGAAGGACATGCTGTGTGCCTTCTCAGAATTGGGCATGGACTCTTGTCAGGTGCGGGGTGTGTGGCCCAGGGGAGGCAGGGGACTTTCAGGGATCGCGTCTTCCTTCTCACACGGCACTGGGTGACCTGAGGAAGGTCTCCTTTCCTTGGCCTTCAGTTTCCAAGTCTGTAAAATAGGGTGAAAAAACTCCTTGTGCCTGTCCACAATAATGGTAATAATGGCAGTGCTCTTCAGGTCTCTTGGACATTTCTGAACATCAGTCACATGCCCAGATGGGGGCCCGGTGCTGGCAGAACTGGTTTTCATAAATGGCATCGTTCCGTAAGCGTGTGTCTGTCTCTTGCATCTTCGGTTCAACATTGTTTTTGAGATTTATCCCTATTGAAAAGTGCAGCTTTCATTCATTAATTGACATCTTGAGCTAGGATATTCTCTTGTGACCATGTCACAATTTATACACTCTATTGTTTATAGCATTGAGGTGGTTTTCAGGGTTTTTTTCATATCACAAACCGCTGCTCTGAATATTCTTACACACATCTCCCTATTTACGTGTTCCAGAATTTCTCGACAGGATGTGTCCTGCAGGGAACTGGGGGGTCATAGGCTGTGCATGCCTTCATCTTTAATAGTTTTTGCTGGGGCGCTGGAGGGCTCAGTTGGTGGAGCATCTGACTCTTGATTCAGCTCAGATCATGATCTCGTGGTTCATGAGTTCAATCCCCACATCAGGCTCTGCACTGACAGCATGGAGCCTGCTTGGGATTCTCTGTCTCTCTCTCTGCCCATTCCCTGCTCTCTCTCTCTCTCAATAGAAAAAAAATATTAAGGGGCGCCTGAGTGGCTCAGTTGGCTGAGTGTCTGACTTTGGCTCAGGTCATGATCTCACGGCTTGTGGGTTCGAGCCCCGCATCAGGCTCTGTGCTGACAGCCTGCTTTGGATTCTGTGTCTCCCTCTCTCTCTGCCCCTAACCTCCTTGCATTCTGTCCCTGTCTCTCTCAGAAAAATAAATAAAACATTAAAAAATTAAAATTGTTACTGCCAATTGTTTTCCAAAGGGATCGTGTTAATCCATATTCTTACATCAGTGTTTGAGAATTCTGCTCCATATTGTTGGCAACATCTTTGGTATTGTCAGACTATAAGACGTTTTCCATCCTGTTAGATGAGAAACAGAGCAATAGTATCCCGTTGTGGCTGCAGCGTGTGTCCCCAGTGGCCAGTGCAGCTATGCATCGCTTCCTGTGTGCATTCTCCATTCGTGACTCTTCTTCTGTGAATCACTGACTCAGCTGTTCTGCACATTTTCTATTGTTTGCCTTTTTCTTTTTATTGTATTTTATATTTTGGATCTTGGTTCCGTGTTCCTTGTGTATATGGCCAATATCTTGTCCCGGTTCTTTAATTTATCTTTTCATTATGTTTACACTGTCCTTTGCTGAGCAGCAGTTTAGATTTTATCGAAGTCAAGACCAGATGGACTTAATATACAGAAAAAAGTATATATATGGAACATTCCATCCAAAAACAAAAGACGGCAGCATACACTTCCTTTTCATGGGCACATACAACATTCTCCAGGAGAGCTTGATCACATGTTAGGCCACAAAGCAAGTTTCAGTGAATTCAAGAAGACCGAAACCCTATCAAGCATCTTTTCTGACCACAACAGTATGAAACTAGAGATCAGTGACGAGAAAAAAAAAAACAAAACCAGAACTGGAGAAAACAGAAATGTGGAGGCTAAACAACACGCTACCAAATAAATAACAGGTCAATGAAGAAATCAAAGAGGAAATTAAAAAATACCTCGAGACAAGTGGAAATGGAAATACAATGGTTCAAACTCTTTGAGATGCAGCAAAAGCAGTTTTTTAAAAAATTTATTAAGTGTTTAATTTTAATTCCAGTATAGTTAACATACAGTGTTATATTAGTTTCAGGTGTACAATATAGTGATTCAACCATTTCATACATCATGACTCAGTGCTCATTATGATAAGTGTACTCTTAATCCCCTTTATCTGTTCCACCCACCCCCCACCCACCTCCCCTCTGACATGTTTTATTTTAAATGAATACCCTCAGTTAAAGTTACCGCTTGTTTCCAACAAGAACATTTTTTCTACTCGAAGCATATTTCAGAATAGATGGTTCTAAAAGATAAATATAAAACATTCCACCCAACAAAAATAGAATACACATTTTCCTCAAGTACACATAGAAGAATCCTCTGGTTAAATCCCACAAAAAGAGACATAATAAATATTACAAATTTAAGAAGACTGAAATCATACCAAGGATAGTTTCCAACCACAGTGGTATAAAACTAAAGATCAACAACGGTAAAACGAAGCTGGAAAATCTACAATGTGTATATTAAATATTTAATATGTAAATATTAACACACTACTGCACAAGCAATGGGCCAAATAAGAAATAAAATGGCAAATTAAAATATGTCTCAAAAGAAAGGAAAATACAATATTCCAAAACCTATGGGATGCAGCAAAAGCAGATGTTAGAGTAAAATTTATGCTATAAATGCTCATATAAAGAGGAAAAGTTCAAATAAACAACATTACACCACAAGGAACCAGAAAAAGAAGAAACAGCTGAGATTTAGTAGAGGAAGGAGATAAAAAAATCAGAAATAAATAGAGACCGGAATAAACAATAACATAACACTGAAAGTAATGAGCAGTTTTTCCAAAGAAAATAAACAAAATTGGGAATGCTTTAAAAAGCAGTTCTAAGAGGCAAGTTTATAGTAATGCAGGCCTACATCAAGAAACAAAATCTGATACGATCTAATTTTACACCTGAAGGAACGAGAATAAGAACAAAGGAAGGAATAAGAACAAAGTAGAAGGAAATACTGAATATTGGAGTGATATAAATAAAATAGAGACTGAAGAAACAATAGAAAAGATCAGTGAAACTAAGAGCTGGCTCTTTGAAAATGTAAAATTGATAAACTTTAGCTAGACTTATCAAGGAAATGAGAGAAGACTCAAAATCAGAAATGAAAGAGAAGTTCAACCAACACCACAGAAATACAAAGAAAATGGATAAATTCCTAGAAACATACAATCTTCCAAGAATGAGTCAGGAAGGAAAAAAAAAATTGGAACAGGCTGATTACTAGTAGTGAAAGTGAATCAGTAATCAAAAAACTCCCAACAAACAAAAGTCCAGAACCAGATGGCTTCACAGATGAATTCTATCAAACATTTAAAGAAGAGTTAATACCTATCTTTCTTAAAGTATTCCAAAAAGCTGAGGAGGAAAGAACGGTTCCAAATTTATTCTACAAGGCCAGCACTACCCTGATACTAAAACCGGACAAAGACACTATAAAAAAAGAAAATTACAGACCAATAGCCCTGATGAAAATAGAAGCAAAAATCCTCAACAAAATATTAGCAAACTGAATTCAAAAATACAGGAAAAGGATCATTCACCTGATCAAGTGGATTTGTTCCAGGGATGCAAACATGGTTCAGTATCTGCAAATCAATCAACATGATATACCACATTAATGAATGGAGGATAAAAATCATATGATCATCTCAACAGATGTAGAAAAAGCATTTGACAAAATTCAACATCCATTCATGGTAAAAACTCTTAGCAAAGTGTGTATAGAGGGAAGATACCTTAACATAATAGAGACCATATATGACAAACCCACAGCACATCCTACTCAGTGGTGAGAAGCAGAAAGCTTTTCCTCTAAGGTCAGGAATGACAAGGATGTTCACTTGCCAATTTATTTATTTTTTATTTTTAAAAATTTCACCTGGTTTTTACTTTATCTTGCTGCTTTTATGCAGCAGAGTACTGAAGATTAGCCACAGCAATCAGACAAACAAAAGAAATAAAAGGCATCCAAATTAGTAAGGAAAAAATAAAACTGTCACTATACGCAGATGATATGATGCTACATATAGAAACTCCTAAAGACTCCACCAAAAAACTATTAGAGCTAATAAAGAAATTCAGTAAAGTTACAGGATACAAAATATGAAGAAATATGTTGCATTTCTATACACTAAAAATGAAGTAGCAGAAGGAAATTAAGAGAACAGCTCCATTTATCATTGCATCAAAAAGAATAAAATACCCAGGAATAGATTTAACCAAAGGTAAAAGACTTGTACTCTGAAAACTATAAGACACTGATGAAAGAAACTGAAAATAACACAAATAAATGGAAAGATATACCATGCTCATGGACTGGGAGAATTAATCATTAAAATGTCCATACTATCCAAAGCAATCTACAGATCTGATGCAATCCCTATCAAAATACCAATAGTAATTTTTGCAGAATTAGAATAAAAAATACTAAAATTTGTATAAAACCACAAAAGATCCAGAATGGACAAAGCAGTCTTGAGAAAGAAGAAAAAACTGGAGGTATCACAATCCCAGATTTCAGGCTATACTACAAAGCTAGAGTAATCAAAAGAATATGGTACTGAAACAAAAATAGATACAAATCAATAGTTAATCCAAGGAGGCAAGAATATACCATGGGGAAGACTGTCCCTTCAATAAATAATGTTGGGAAAACCAAACAGCTACATGCAAAAGAATGAAACTTGACCACTTTCTTACAACATACACAAAAATGAGCCCCAAATGGATTAAAGATCTAAAGGTAAGACCCCAAGCCATAAAACTCCTAAAAGAAAACATAGGCAGTAAACTCTTGCACATCAGTCTTAGCAATTTGTTGTTGAATCTGCCCCCTCAGGCAAAGCCAACAAAAGCAAAACAAAATTAAGGCACTTGGGACTACATCAAACTAAAAAAACTTCTCACAGCAAAGGAAAACATCAACAAAACGATAAGGCAACCTACTGAATGTGAGAAGGTATTTGCAAATGATATTTTTGAGAAAGGGTTGGTAACCAAAATATGTAAAGAACTCATACAACTCAACACCAAAAACCAAAACCAAAAACCCACCCCCAAAAAAAACCCTGCAAAAAACTCAGTCTGATTTAAAAAATGAGCAGAAGACCTGAATAGACATTTTT